CGTACCGTCAGTAAGTCAGTAGTCACGTTACGTAGTAAGTACAGTAAGTAAGTACGTAAGTCAAGTAAGTAAGTCGACGTCAGTAAGTAAGTAAGTCGTACGTCCGTCCGTCCGTCCGTCCGTCCGTCCGTCCGTCCGTCAGTCCGTCCGTCCGTCCGTCCAGTCCGTCCGTCGTCCGTCAGTCCGTCCGTCCGTCAGTCCGTCCGTCCGTCCGTCCGTCCGTCCGTCCGTCCGTCCGTCCGTCCGTCCGTCCGTCCGTCCGTCCGTCCGTCCGTCCGTCCGTCCGTCCGTCCGTCCGTCCGTCCGTCCGTCCGTCCGTCCGTCCGTCCGTCCGTCCGTCCGTCCGTCCGTCCGTCCGTCCGTCCGTCCGTCCGTCCGTCCGTCCGTCCGTCCGTCCGTCCGTCCGTCCGTCCGTCCGTCCGTCCGTCCGTCCGTCCGTCCGTCCGTCCGTCCGTCCGTCCGTCCGTCCGTCCGTCCGTCCGTCCGTCCGTCCGTCCGTCCGTCCGTCCGTCCGTCCGTCCGTCCGTCCGTCCGTCCGTCCGTCCGTCCGTCCGTCCGTCCGTCCGTCCGTCCGTCCGTCCGTCCGTCCGTCCGTCCGTCCGTCCGTCCGTCCGTCCGTCCGTCCGTCCTCCGTCCGTCCGTCCGTCCGTCCGTCCGTCCGTCCGTCCGTCCGTCCGTCCGTCCGTCCGTCCGTCCGTCCGTCCGTCCGTCCGTCCGTCCGTCCGTCCGTCCGTCCGTCCGTCCGTCCGTCCGTCCGTCCGTCCGTCCGTCCGTCCGTCCGTCCGTCCGTCCGTCCGTCCGTCCGTCCGTCCGTCCGTCCGTCCGTCCGTCCGTCCGTCCGTCCGTCCGTCCGTCCGTCCGTCCGTCCGTCCGTCCGTCCGTCCGTCCGTCCGTCCGTCCGTCCGTCCGTCCGTCCGTCCGTCCGTCCGTCCGTCCGTCCGTCCGTCCGTCCGTCCGTCCGTCCGTCCGTCCGTCCGTCCGTCCGTCCGTCCGTCCGTCCGTCCGTCCGTCCGTCCGTCCGTCCGTCCGTCCGTCCGTCCGTCCGTCCGTCCGTCCGTCCGTCCGTCCGTCCGTCCGTCCGTCCGTCCGTCCGTCCGTCCGTCCGTCCGTCCGTCCGTCCGTCCGTCCGTCCGTCCGTCCGTCCGTCCGTCCGTCCGTCCGTCCCGTCCGTCCGTCCGTCCGTCCGTCCGTCCGTCCGTCCGTCCGTCCGTCCGTCCGTCCGTCCGTCCGTCCGTCCGTCCGTCCGTCCGTCCGTCCGTCCGTCCGTCCGTCCGTCCGTCCGTCCGTCCGTCCGTCCGTCCGTCCGTCCGTCCGTCCGTCCGTCCGTCCGTCCGTCCGTCCGTCCGTCCGTCCGTCCGTCCGTCCGTCCGTCCGTCCGTCCGTAGTACAGTAAGTCACGTGCTGTCAGTCCCGGTCAGTACGGACCGTGAAGGAGAGTGCAGTGCCCTCACCGTCACGTCCGCTGAGTGCATTCCCGTACCGGATGTACACGTACAGTAAGTGCATACGTACGTCCAGTCGTGCCTCAAGTCAGTACAGTCCGTCCGTACCGTCGTGACACCTCAGTCCAGTCCGGGAGTGCCCGTTCCGTCCGTCCGTCGTTCACGTTCGTGCATCAGTACGTCACGGTCAGTACTATGGTCCGTCCGCAAGTTCGGGTAAGTCCGTGCCCACTACACGTCACGTCCGTTGACAGTGCGCTCTGTCCCCTCATACTTACGTCCCCACGTTTTTTTTTTTCAGTGGCCTCCTCAGTCAGTGCGTCCGTCCGCCGCTCTAGCTAAGCTTCAACGTATCCGTGCCTCAGTCCGTCCGTCACCGTCCTTCCGTCCGGTTCTGCCTCACGTACGTTCAGTCATACCGTGCACGCCGTCCGCTCAGTACGTAGACGTGACCTCGGGGGAATGCTGGTGAACTCTAAGTACGTGGATACACTTCTAGCGTGACAAGCTGCACAGCGCAGTCCCGTCCGTCGCGCCTCCACTGCTACACGCGTAACCGCGAGCAGGTTGTGCTAGTGTCCGTCATCAGTAAGTGTACGTAAGTCAGAAGTTAAGATCAATGGCTAGTTCCGTCACCACGCAAACAGATAAGACTAAGTACGGAATAAAGGTAAGTGACTGCTATTATGTTCACGTAATGGAGAGTGCACAAGCTAAGTTTCACACGGAATAAGTACAGTAGTGAGGTTGCATAAGTAAGTAAGTAAGTAAGTAAGTAAGTGCATAAGTAAGTAAGTGAGTAAGTAAGTAAGTAAGTAAGTAAGTTAGTGCATAAGTAAGTAAGTAAGTAAGTAAGTAAGTAAGTAAGTAAGTAAGTAAGTGCATAAGTAAGTAAGTGAGTAAGTAAGTAAGTAAGTAAGTAAGTAAGTAAGTGCATAAGTAAGTAAGTGAGTAAGTAAGTAAGTAAGTAAGTAAGTTAGTGCATAAGTAAGTAAGTAAGTAAGTAAGTGCATAAGTAAGTAAGTAAGTGCATAAGTAAGTAAGTGAGTAAGTAAGTAAGTAAGTAAGTAAGTAAGTAAGTAAGTAAGTAAGTAAGTAAGTAAGTAAGTGCATAAGTAAGTAAGTAGTAAGTAAGTGCATAAGTAAGTATGTAAGTAAGGAAGTGCATAAGTAAGTAAGTAAGTGCATAAGTAAGTAAGTAAGTAAGTAAGTAAGTGCATAAGTAAGTAAGTAAGTAAGTAAGTAAGTGCATAAGTAAGTAAGTGAGTAAGTAAGTAAGTAAGTAAGTAAGTAAGTGCATAAGTAAGTAAGTAAGTAAGTAAGTAAGTGCATAAGTAAGTAAGTAAGTAAGTAAGTAAGTGCATAAGTAAGTAAGTAAGTAAGTAAGTAAGTGCATAAGTAAGTAAGTGAGTAAGTAAGTAAGTAAGTAAGTAAGTTAGTGCATAAGTAAGTAAGTAAGTAAGTAAGTAAGTAAGTAAGTAAGTAAGTAAGTGCCTAAGTAAGTAAGTAAGTGCATAAGTAAGTAAGTAAGTAAGTAAGTAAGTGCATAAGTAAGTAAGTGAGTAAGTAAGTAAGTAAGTAAATAAGTAAGTGCATAAGTAAGTAAGTAAGTAAGTAAGTAAGTGCATAAGTAAGTAAGTAAGTGCATAAGTAAGTAAGTGAGTAAGTAAGTGCATAAGTAAGTAAGTAAGTAAGTAAGTAAGTAAGTGCATAAGTAAGTAAGTAAGTAAGTAAGTAAGTGCATAATTAAGTAAGTAAGTAAGTAAGTAAGTAAGTAAGTAGGTTAGTAGGTAAGTAGGTAAGTAGGTAAGTAATTAAGTAAGTGCATAAGTAAGTAAGTAAGTAAGTAAGTAAGTAAGTAAGTTATAAAGACTGATGATTTAAACCTGGATAGGTATCTCGTGTTTTTTTTCCGTTTGAGCTTCAATGAATACATTTCTAGAAATATATACATCATAATATTTTTATGATATTTAATTTCTATTTTTAAACACACCAAAATAATATTCTGTTGACTGTATAAAAACATATGCACATCAACACCAGTTCACGATTAATTCTAAATACAGCAAATCGTTTTTGTGTTAAAATGAAATGATATTGACTTGAAATATGAAGAATAAATTAGCTACTTTTGAGATAGTGAAGAAAATTTGTAATTCAGGTGGATGATTGTAATGATGTTTCGATCGCTGAGCTGAGGATATTTTAGTTGTGAAGCTTTACAGTGAAGTTTGTGCTGCTGATGATGATGTTGTTGTCCAGAAGAACAACAGAAGCTTAACAACCGAAACATCCAACTCAGAGAATGAAACACCACCATAATTTAGCTACTTTATAACATGAATCTAAAAAAAAAAGTATTCAATCCTCCTTTGTTCAATTCACAATTATCGACAAATCGAACACTTTTCACAAATTCATGTAATCATTACTGATTAATCACGTGAAGAATTTCTTAAAATTAATGATAGAAAGCGATGATTTGTAAAGTCGGTTGATTTTAGAAAGAGATAGTAGTACACTGACATTGAATTGTACAAATCAATGAAGTTTAGTTTAAGAATCTAAAAACATTTTGTGTGTGTGTTAAATCAAGTTAAAAGAGACGACATAGCTGAATTTCGGTTCGTTTACGAACAAATGAAGATTTCTTTTTTAAAAATACAAGCAAGAAAATAATTGATAAACTCTGCTGATGTATCGAAGATTTGACAAACACAACAATATTGCAATATTTGAAATCATTAATCAATCATCATTGTTAAACCACCATTAGAAACTTGGTGGTCTAACAATGATGATTGATTAATGATTTAAAATGTGTAAAAAACGCAAACCTCCAAAAAACTGTGCCCCAATATTGCAATAATAATATTCTACACTAATATAGAGTAGAGAAAAAAAATTAGACAATCAGAAAAGTTTTATATTCTGATTAGAGATTAAATATTGAAAAGCAATAACTCTCTTTTACACATTTGAAATCATAAATCAATCATTGTTAGACCACCAACATTAAAAACACTGGAAGCACTGGACAACCGTTTCGTCTTGGTCTAAAACTCATCAGTAGTGCACATACACGACTCATGCATTTCGCAGGATTCGAACCCGGAACCTCCGGTATTGTGCGCGAACGCCTAACCTCTGGACCACTGGTGTTAATGTCTAACTCTAATTGATCTAGGGATTTTGTGCGACCTCACCCATTTATCTTTGGTAGTCACTGCTTAAACCCAACAGGGTTGAACTCCACTGGTCATGTCTTCTCCGAGAATTTCCTCACGAAGCTAGTCACTAGTGAGCGTATTTTATGCTATTTTTAATTAGAGTTATAGAGATTAGTGTTTTTCTGCACAGTGAAATCATCAATGAAAGAAAATACGATGACGTTGAAGTACAACATCGGATTAAGTAACAACAATAGTCATTGTGAAAGAAACCCCGGAACTCTATAGCTTAACACATGAATTCTACTACATAAATAACTCCTTGATTTAAAAGTTAAATTTTCATTACAGTAAACTAGTATAATTACAAACGAGATAAACTTACCACCATTGTTAGTGTTATTACTACATTTATTACTACTACTATTATTGTTATTAGTAGTATTGCTGTTTGAATGGCGTGTTTTATGATTCACAGATACATTATCACTATGACTAATAACACTACTATTACTACTATTATTAATATTAGTAGTATTACACAAATCCATATTATTTAAACTAGTTTTACTTCCAAATTTAGAAGATTTTTGTGAATTCAAATTACTAATCTCCATTGGATGTGATTGTTGTGTTTGTTGACTTAATAAATGATGCTGATGATATTGTTGTTGTTGTTGAATTAGATCAGTATCAATGAACCCAGTTCTATCGATCAATCCATTGATCGTCTCTGATGATGATGCTGATGGTAACACGGTTGTTTTATTGTCAATTTGTTCAGATTTCAAGTGTTCCGAATTTAATAGAAAATTATATGAATGACAATAATTCGTTAGAGTTTTTGAATGATTTGTGGAAATATTTACAGTATGATTATCATCATCATCCTCGTCCTCCTCCTCGTCATCTTCATCCTCTTGATTATTATTAGTTGTATCTTTCAATGATGCACCAAGAGATTGTTCTATTGAACATTGAAATGTTGTTGTTAAACATTCTTGTTCAATGGTATTTGAACATGGCGCACTATTTGAAGAGAGTTTATCATGTATAATACAACATGTAGAATGGTTATTATTATTATCTGTTTGATCTTCTTTACTACTAATACCAGAAATAACTTCATCATTTTCATCAACTATTGCATCGAGTATATCATCCATACTAGTGATAGTTGTGTAATCAGAATTATAAGTAGTATTTATATCGTTATTAGTAGTAGTATTGCTGGTAGTAGTTGTAGTAGTAGTATTTCTAGATAAAATTGTACATAATTCAGTAGTCATAATCGTTTTAGATAAATAAATACATAATTTACTATTATAGTCCTGAGTTAAATCCTGTATGAATTTGTTGATTTGAGTTCATTTGTTGTACAATTGGGAATCATGTGTACATGAATATATATACAATTTAAAATGCCCTAATCAACACTGTTAGAGGAGATATGATGAAAATTGAAAAGCCTTATTATTTATTATAAAAATGTTTAATACATGTTTGTATAATATGAAAGAAGTATATTTAATATCGATTTGTTATCTCTCTCTATCTCTCTCTAATCTCTCTCTACTCTCACGCCTACTAGCTCAATGAGTTTGGCCTACTTGTAAGGATATATAGATATGTTATAGTGAATAAGTGAACAGACCAATTGGTCTATGTATATATATATATATATATATAAAGGGAAGAATAAACATGTGAATACACACACACCCGCATTCAGCCCTATATATATTCCCCTTTTTTTCCCCCAAACCAACACTTATTTCATGAAACAAACAGATTCATAGTTATATAAATTGACAGAAATTGATTGATGATGTTGTGTTGTATGCGGTGGGACAAACTCATCTGAGCGTTTTAGCTTTATTTATTTGTATTGAGAAATGCATTTAGAGAAAAGAAATAATTCCCTTATTGATAAAGCAGTCGGGAAGAGAGAAGAGAAGAGAATATTTTCTCATCATAGAATGATTTTTAACCAATCCCAAGTTGAGGAGTTCAATCTCTAAGCATTTTTATGCAAGAGTACAACACAACATACAAAATCTTCATTAGGATTGAAATATGTCTGTGAGTCTGTCTATAAAAGAAACTAAATTTTTTTTAGGAAAATCCCATTTGCTTCTCCTATTCAGAGTTTGGAGAGTTGTGCCTACTACTATTACTACTACTATAACTACTACGACGACCTTAACATCTATACTAACTAACAATGGATATAGTTAGAGTTGTGCCTACGTTTTGTTCATATATACATGTATATATCGATTTTAGTATGGCAACGATTGATTATTTCAGGCATCTAAGAGTTTTATATGTCATTTAAATCAGGAGAGCAGATTGTTATCTATCTATTTATTGTTCAGTAAACTGAAAGGTCATAAATCAAATGAGGGAAAGAAAAGTATTATGTTTCGTAGAAAACGTTTAACTATTTTTTTAAGAAAAAAACAAAATTAATTTCATACTAATCTATCGTAATAAAAAGAAAAAAACCGGTGTTCATGATTTTTTAATTAGAAATTAGATAAATCAATGTTGTCTTTGAAAATTTTTATTAATTCAGGTGATTTATGGAGATTGTATTATTTTCATAGGGTGAAATTATGAACTAATCGAAGTTAGACAACCAGTAGAAACATGGAAGCATTAGATGACTGCTTCGTCTTGGTATGGAATTCATCAGAAGTGCTCATTCGCAAACCTCGTTCGTATGGGGGGTCTTGCATATGAATGCTTAACATCTAAATCATTGAGTCAGCATTTAATTGTGTTAATGTCTAACTTCACTCAGTTCATGATGTTAGGCAACCTATAACGGATAGCAGTCTTTTTGAGATGGTGGAGAAAATTTGTAGCTCAGGTGAATGATTCTGATCGTAGACTTCTATCTGAAGTTTGTGCTGATGATATTGTTCAGAAGGACACTGATAGGTGTACAATGAAACACCACCACAAGGATAACTGTCTCCAACACAACATGGATATTTTGTTATTAACATGAAGAGATCGATTGAAAATCAGAGAGTAATATAAACATATGTTATGTTTTATTTCTAAACGGTTTATTCTCAGTTGAATGCAAAAATATCATGTATCTTAACAATTAAAATACACTTAGATCGTTGAGTTGACGTTCATTTGTGAACATTTTAAGTAATTAAAATTTCTTTTTTTTGGTGACATGGCATGACAATCTTAATTAAATAAATACATAAGATATATCATTGAACTCTTAACCATCAGCAACAACGTACTATGGGAGAGAACAAACCAGATTCCTTCAGTGGAGGAGGAAATCAGGAAGAAGCGGTGGAAGTGGATAGGACACACATTACGAATACCACCTAACTGCGTCACAAGACTAGCCCTTACATGGAACCCTCAATGTCAAAGGAAAATAGGAAGGCCAAGGAACACATTACGCCGAGAAATAGAGAAAGATTTGAGAAGAATGAACAAAAACTGGAAAGAACTAGAAAGGGAAGGCCCAGGACAGAGTTGGCGGGAGAAAACTGGTGGGCGGCCTATACTCCATTGGGGGTAACAGGCGTAAGTAAGTAAGTAATCATTGAACTCTTGAAAATGTAACGCAGTGATTCCTTTCATTAAAACAATCTACTTTTCTAGCATAAACTGAAGAAATCAATTACATTTACAGTTTTCAGATAATCCATCATTTCATATCATTTTTCATGAGTTTACAGTATAAAAAGAAAATTTTTTGTTTTAATGGTTCAAATTTTATGTAATTACAACCAGGCAAATTTTTCAATTAGACTTATGGAAATTAGTGTTCGTTGTACATTGAAATCATCAATCAATCATTATTAGACCACCACCATTAGAAATCTGGAAGCACTGGGCAGCTATTTCGTCTTGATATGGGACTCATCAGCAGTGCGTAGCCACAACTCCCATGACCAAAGGCCCTGGGTTCGAATCGTGGAGTCGTGGATGCACACTGTTGATGAGTCCGATAGCAAGACGAAACGGCTGTCCAGTGCTTACAGGTTTCTAATGGTGACTTAATAATCAGGCAAATGTTTAAAAAGAAGGTCACTAACTAAGTTATTCCAAAGGCTATCGTCAGTCACAACTATATGCAATGTATCTCGATTATATTTCTAAATGGAACTAATATTCAATGTTGTAAGCTTACTTCATACTGTGGTGTGTGCTACTTATACGAACGATATAAGTAGTATAAGAAGGGATGTGAAAGAAGAAGTCTCACGGTCACAAGAGGAAAACGGAAAGCAAATGGAGCAAAAGCAAGAAGTAAATGGAGTACCGACAGGAAGTAAAGGAAGCAACAGCATGAATGGAAGAAGGATGGAGCGTTGGAAGTCACGACTCAAAGAGATGGTGTGCAAATAGAGTGTTCAATGTAATGTTTTTGTTTTTAATTGACTAAGAGTGTAAATGTGCATAATAATACAATCTTCCGCGCATGCCTCAGTCTTCTCAATACTTTCTCCCAGACTGAGTTCAGTGATAAAAATATCTTTAATAATCACTCCACATTTTGAAATTTCTTAGCTTATATGAGACTTTCATTTTCAAAATCGATTTTTGTAAATATTTGATGTTCATGGGAAAAAGGGGATTAGTTGAGTTAGAAAAATTTTCATAGTTTTGTTCATGAAACAATCTTACCTAAATCCCCATTAAAAATCAGGAGCCGTGGATAGCTGTTTTGTTAGGGCATGGGACTCCTCATCGATTACTTTCCTATCACAGGAGATCAAACCTGATACATTTGGCCTCACGCATGAATGCCTAATTTTGAGTGTTTATTTACCGAGACTGTCCATATTATCATTCTGTCAATCATCAAAATATGTCTTACTTGAAGAACACTTTTGTTCTGTCCAGAATCTAAAGAGTAAAACTGAAACTTCATGTGTGACACTGTTCAATAATGTTAAAAGTTGTGCTTATTGTCTTCAACTTTGTTTGTATCCAAGCTGAATAATATAATCAGTCATAAATATCTCTGCCAAAACGAAATTAATACCTGCTAGGCACTCAAATTCATGTTTATATCTTCGTAAACATGATACATAACTGATATATCAATTAGTTTTAGTACTTACTGGTCAATGGGACGTAATCACTGTCCTAACGTCAAGTTCTTAGTATTTCATAAATTCCATACGTCGATTTCGGAAGGTGCCCAACTGAGTAATCGACTCAACATCTCAATAGTCATCTGTTTCACTTTAGATGATTGTAAGAATTTAATAGTAAACCCTAGAGCAAGTTTTTGTGCTAACCAACATATCAATTTAATTAATGTAAATATGTTACTTAAAAACTTAGTTAGTAGCTTATGTTATTGTTAGAAATATCTCATGTATTCATCTATCGATGGTCGTGATTTACAAATAAAAATGATTTTACACTTTACTTGCGCTCAATACAGACAGAACCAAAGCAAGATTTTAGTTCTGTATCTGATTTACGCGTGTAACAGTTTCGAAAGAAGGTGTACTGTAACTAAAGATTCAACCAAATCAAAGAAAACAAAAAAGTTTTATTCAGTTTGCAAATCTTGATCATTTTTCCAGTGTTACTGATTCCTATCACAAACTGATATGCTAGTCATTTGATTTGCTTGAAACGATCATGAGTTTACCTTACTCGGTAAACGAAACGCAGATAAATGATTCAGTGTCACGACAGGCTATTCTAATCCTGTTGAACCCGGACACGTTAACTATATCAAGAAGTCATGATAAGGCGTAGAAAGTGTAGTCTTCAAACATCCAGCAAGTACAATGCAATCAAGCACACAAACCTCGTTTATTTATATATCGTAGAAACGTCCTTTGGGCAGTCACAAAAACAGCATACTAAAATAAAACATCAACAGATGACATTCAAGGATTTTCCAAGTGGGAATTTAATCTCAAGGTCAACTGATCAACCCATGCACGAAAACACAAAATCCAAAATTAGGACCTTCATCAAGTGAGTTACGGGGATCTAACGTCCCCAACACAATCACATAAATTATGAGGACAAATCAGAGTATCAGATATGATATTTAGCTGCTTGTGTATCATTTAGGTAGTTAATAATTGAAGATAATTTATACTATCAACTGATTATAGTATTGTGGTGTACGCTACTTATGTTCACATAAGAAGTAAATGATATCAAACGGAAATCAAACGTCTGACAGCAAAAGATCGCGAAGTAAAGAATAAGAACAGAAGGCGATTTGTAGATAACGTAAAGTGAACTGAAGTCTGAACAGTCAGTCTAAATG